CCCTTTCCCTTACCTTTTTCCTCTTCCTTTCTCTCCCTCTCTCTATCTATCTATCGATCTATCTATCTCTCTTTCTCTCTTTCTCTCTTTCTCTCTCTCTCTCTTTCTCTCTTTCTCTCTTTCTCTCTTTCTCTCTCTCTCTCTCTCTATCTATCTATCTATCTATCTATCTATCTATCTATCTCTATCTCTGTCTTTCTCTGTCTCTATCTTAATCTCTATCTATCTGTCTCTCTTTCTCTGTACCTATCTGTCTATCTATCTCTGTCTCCTTCTTATTCCCCCTTCCTTCGTTTCTTTCTCTGTTGTGGTCCCTTGTTCCAAGTTTCCTTTATCCAGAGATGATCTCTTCGAACTGTGATATTTCTCCCTCAATCCTCTATCCTTCTCTCTTCCATCTCTCGTATCATCATTTTCGTCTTTCTTTCTTCCTTTCTTTCTTTATTATGCCCCTTTTTCACACTTTATTCTTGTTTTCCTCCAATAAAGGGGTTTCTAGAATGTCGTGGAGATTGTAAACATTTTGGGAAAATTAGTATAATATATTAGTATAATTGCGATTATGAAGAAGATTGAGTTATGCTGATTTCACTATTGATTATATAGCTATTATTATTACTAGCAATATTGTTTCTAGTGGGTAGTTTTAATTACAGTATTAATTATTAATAATAGTAATACAAGTGATTAGTAATGCTAATGATGGTAGTAAAATGCTAAAAAAAGTAAATTTTATATTGATTATCATATCTGTTATTGTTAATTTAGATCATTTTTATTATCAGTATTATTTGTTATGCTGTTGGAAGTGTAAAAAAAAAATCGGTCAACATCACTGTTAAGAACTATAATATCATCGCAAACCTATAAAATAGTCCCGCCATTGACATAGAAAATGAGCTGTAAGTAAAACATGGCGTCAGGCACCGTAGAGTTTAGGCGTGAGGTGTCGATCACGTGATCTTCCGAGTATTGAGACTGACGACCGAAGAGTTCTAGGACCGCCCTGGCTGACTGTTGTTAATTGATTCTGTTTGCTGGTTGTCGCCTATTAGTTAAGAGCTTTAGGAGTGTTCATAAGTCTTTTTCTCTTGTTTTTTATCTTTCTTTCTCTTTCTCTTTCTCTCACGTCTTGCCTTCTCTTTTCTATTCTTCTTCTTTTTTCTCTCCTTCTTCCTCTTTCTCTTTCTCTTTTCCTCTCTTCTGTTCTCGTCTTTTCTCTTCTCTTTTCTTCTCTCTTCTCTTCCCCCCCCTCTCTCTCTCTCTCTCTCTCTCCCTCTCTCTCTCTCTCTCTCTCTCTCCCTCCCTCCCTCCCTCCCTCCCTCCCTCCTCTCCCTCCCTCCCTCCCTCCCTCCCTCCCTCCCTCCCACCCTCCCTCCCTCCCTCCCACCCTCTCCCTCCCACCCACCCACCCACCCTCTCTCCCCCCCTCTCCCCCCCTCTCCCTCCTTCCCATCTCATCCATTTTTTTTAATTCCCCTTTCTCTCTCCTCCTCCCCCCTGCAGAGTACATCCGCCACGCCCCCTGCATGCGCACCGTGAACTCGGAGTACAACCTCTGCTCCGAGATCTACCACCAGAAAACCGCTGACCTCAACCACATCAGCGATGCCGTGGCCACCCTGGACGACGAGGAGAAGAACCGCAACGTCATCACGCTCTGCTGGTAAGTCGAGAGGGGTGGGCGGGCTTTGGGTAAAAGGGGGGGAGGGGGGAGGAGGGGGGTGTGGGAGGGAGTGGGTAAGGGTAGGGGTAGGGATAGGGGTAGGGGGGAGGGAGTGGGTAAGGGTATGGGTAGGGTTATGGTTAGGGTAAGAGAAGAGGGGGGTGTTTGGTTAAGGGAGGTGTGGGGTATGGAAGGGAATGGGTAAGGGTAGGGTTTGGGTAAGGGAAGAGGGGAGGGTTGGTTAAGGGAAGGAGTGGGTAAGGTAAGGAAGGGGGAGGGTTGGTTAAGGGAGGGAGTGGGGTAAGGGTAGGGTTAGGGTAAGGGAAGAGAGGGAATTAGGGTAAGGGAAGGAGGAGAGGGGTAAGGGTTGGGTAAGTGGATGAGTTAAGGGTTGGAATGGGTAAGGGTAGCTTGATGAGTAGAGGAAGAGGTGGCTTTAGTTAAGGGAGGGAGTAGGTAAGCGGTGGGTGGATTTGGGTAATGGTGAGGATAATGGTGAGTAAGGTGGTGCGAAGTTACTCTCAGGGATGAGTGTGAATAGTGAGATTTAAATGACAAGACGGTATTTGGGTAAAATAAAAAATCACGGCTTGTGAGTACTCATTCATGTTATGTATGTGTTCTCATGTGTCATTACTCATTCTCGCCATACTGATGAGTGAAAGTGAATCACTCTTAAATCAATTCAAAATATACAGGATGTACTAGTAGAAGATACAGATCAGAAGTTATTAATATCCTTAACTTTGCCTGAGTGGGAGTGAGAGCAAAAGATTAGATATCTCTCGTCAATCTAAATTAAAAAATGCTTGTTTTTTTTAATTTGTGTTAACG